GTCAAGTGTGAATTTCACTGAGCAATATGACATGGGAAGCCCCCCAGAAGGTTCAGTGATGTGACATAATCCAAATAATATTTCAAAAGGACCCTTCTGGTGACTGTGGAGAATATTCTTCAGATGAACACAGGGAGAATCAGGAAGATTAATAGGTCGGGTTATCTAGAAGCAGTCGCTGATACAGAATTTGGAGGGCAAGGGTTTACTAAGGACAGAAACCAGCACTTGTGAAGGAAGGGAGGGAAGCAAGGTTGGCAGAGAAAGAAGTTCAACTGACATGCAAACTTGACAGCTATTGCCTGTCAGAGTGTCCTGAAATGGCTAGGCTCTTATATCTCCTTCTTGCTCCGTTAATGGATGCAGGTTGCCCAGGCAGGGTGTGACTTCAGACAAGGCAACTCTACAGCTGAGGCAGACCCCAAAGTAACTGACAGAGGGAGGCTGTGTGCTGGCCACACTCTTCATGAGATGGGCAGCAAGTCCATCCCTGAAGGAAGATTTTGATGCTGCATCTTCGTGACTGCCATGGAGGTGGATGCAGAGACCGCTAGGGTCCATCCCTTATTCATTTTGGTCTAAGAACATCCTCAGGTTTTATCAGAACCCATGGCTGCCCAGCTGGATGGTATACACTTCCAGATTCCCTTGCAGCTAGGCATGGCCATGTGACCACATCCTGACCAATAAGATATGAGCGGAATTGATACGCTCGAGGTTGCATCCTAGGCTAGGAAGCAGCCCTTCTCCCACACACACACTCTCTCACTCTTTTTCCCTCCTTTGCTGTGGGCTAGAAGAGAAGGAGCCTGCTTCAAAAAAGAAGAAAAGAACAATACCTTAAAGAATGCTGGAGCCACGAGATAGGAAGAGCCTGGTTCCCTGGACCACCTCACAGCATGAAGCCCTCAACCTCATGTCTAGAGAGAAATAGCAGCTATCTTATTTGTACGACCATATTTTTAGTTCGGCATCCTAGCTAGGACGATATTTTTGTGACAACACCTTAGCCAACACCCTAACTACTGCTGAGGCAACTGTAACAGCCCTTGTCTTCACCAAGATGATAGTAATGGAAGTGGTGAGCAGTGATCAGATTCAATTTCATTTGGAAGAAACAGGCATTGTGATTTGCTGATGTATGTGATGGGAGATTCCAGAAAAAGAATGGAGTCGAGACTGACCTTAATTTTAGGCTTCGGCGATTGAAGAAATCGAGATGTCATTTATTGAGACAGGGGTCGAATCTGAGGTTGGTTCGCAGATCTAAAAGTTCATTTTTTTACCTGATACATTTGGGATCTCTAACTCGAGCCAAGTTGGGTATAAGAACCTGGGTTGAAGAAGTGAGTATAGGCTGGAGAAAAGAATCTGGGAGACTACAGACGTTATTTAAATCCACGGTTTTATTTATTTCCCTGACACATGCCATAGTCTTTGCAATTGTTCTCTCTGCCTGGAACTGTCTTCTCCCAAATATTCGCTTTGCCTTCCTTCTCATCACTTGGGGCTTCTGCCCTCTACAAACCTGGTGAAAACGCCCCCCGTTCACCATGTCATCACCACACTGCCCGCTTTGCCTCCTCCGTCACCTCCTCCAGCACCTGAAATTACCTTTCTTAATTCGCTTATGTATTTATTGTCTGCTATCTCACGTGGAGTACAGGCCTCTCAAGGGCTGAATCTGTCCCTACCTGTTGCATCCTCAGCAAACTAGAACAGTGCCTATTCTATAAATAGCTGTCAGCTGACTGAATAAGTAACACCGTTGCTCAAAGCCATTTCCCTGGCAACACTCACCAAACTGAGATTTGCTTCGGGAAGTAAACCTCTTTGGGAAAGGCAAATGCTTCCTGAAAAAGTTAAGCCTCATCCATATTGCAACAAAATTAACTTAATCAGAATACATACATACATACA